AAGACAAATATTTGGGAACGAAGGGAATATCAAAATAAATTGGTCCCTACAAAAAAAACATACTAAATCAGTGACTAGTACTAATCCTACTCGGCTAATTGTAAGTTGTGTTTAACTGCAGCATCACCCTCTAAGCACGACGTGGTCACTTCACAGCTTGAACGACAATTCTACTTCACGTCTTCAAGAACTACTCACAATACAAAAGTATTGCTTAGGATGTCCGATAGCTGATTATCGGTGCAAATATAATAGACATTAATCTTACCGTCTTCCGCGCATTCCGTTATGTAGTGATCATTTGTGGAGTACCTGTCCACCGGCGGCCGGGGTCCGTGGAAACTTGCCGTCGGGCACTCAGCGCGACAGATCTGCCACCATGGACCTCTCGGCCACAAACTGGTGAAGTTCCACAACAGGGACAGCCGACAAGACCACCTCCTTGTGAGAGCGTTCGACGCCCCTGGCTTTTTCTTCCTGTCGCCGGCGCCGATGGTCCTTTCATTCTGTGCTCCGCCGCGGCAGTGGACTAGTGTATCAATGAAGGAAGGAATATGGTTACTACCCATGTGTGGCTGCTGTACTGTTGTGAAGAATCTACAAAAATAGTTCACTATAGTTAGTCTTTTGTGCCGATCGCTGCGCTTGGTCTTTTCAATTAGTTCACATAACTTTCATTTTATGTATCAAATAGTTAACTTTTGGGCTGCAGTTATTCTCTACACCAATGGTGTAACGGGTCATCTAATATATGAGTTAAGGAAGGGTTATGGCTACTACCCACGCAAGGGGGCCCGAACTGTAGTAAACTTGTGCCCCGTGTTCGTTCAATGGCATGTGGTGACTCTCCACTACCGAATAAATCACATGCGACTATTGTACTATTGTGAAGAATCTACAAAAATATCCTCAACAACATTCTCCCGTGTCGTCGCGGCCACGCCCACTTTCTCTTGGGTAGACATATTTGTGATGGTTGGTCGATGTTGTCATATTTTTGGGAACATTTTCATCTCTTGAGCTCTAGCACACTTATACACCTAACTAATGTGCCCTATTGCAGATCACCCAAAGGCCGAAAGATACGCAATTATGCACGCATGATTGAAAGAGTGACTAAGCTTATGGCAATTGGTCACATAC